ATAGATAGTACCCGGATGTTATACCATCTTGTTGAGTGAGACAGTTTATTTTGTGTTCGGGTAGTGTGTGAAGTTAGATAAAAAGAAAAGATTAAAATTTGTTCATAAGAACGATATTATATATATATATATGGCTGGAAAAAAATAGTTTCAATCGTGTTTTTGAATTTATTATGAATATACAAATATATTTTAGAAAAATAATTATATATTCTGGTAGCGCTTGGAATTCTCTATTAGTCTTTGCTTTGTATAAAGGGTCGAAATATTACAAAAATAAAAATAAAATAAAAATGAAGTTTAAAAAAAAGCAAAGGCTAATAGAGAAGCGTCACCAGAATATATAATTATTTTTCTAAAATATATTTGTATATTCATAATAAATTCAAAAACACGACTGAAACTAATTTTTTCCAGGCGGACATACATTTATCGTAGCAAAAGTTAAATTGTAGGAATAAGTCATTGCTTGTTGCGGGATCTTATAAGAATTTCGTATGGTTTTGTACGATCTTCGGAAGACTTTATGACAAGGAATTTAATTATGATATTCCACCCTATAAAAAAAATTCCAGTACGGCACTGCCAGTGCGCACCCGTACCCAACAAGTGCCGAACCAGTACCGATTGGCAGCCGTGCGCACCAGTGCTGATATATTTCTACCGAAAGAGTGCCGCACTGATAATTTATTTAATCAATTTAGTTAATTCTTTATTATGGTTGTTTATGCTGAATTTTGTATTAGACTGATCAGTACCACATCGACATGCCAAAACCATGCGGCATTGCCTCGGCACTTCTCTTATGAGAAGGAAAAGATGAAGTCAGAAATACATTCGAAATATTAGAAATAGACTGTAGCGTTAATATAGACAGAAATTGACAAAACAAAATGGTGATGGAAAACCAAACTTCGGCACTGGTGCGCACCGGTGCGAGATTTTTACATTGTTTCTAGCACCGATGTACATCGGTGCCCAGAAAAAAAACTATTTGACACCGGTGCGCACCCGTGCACAACCAGTGCCGATAAAATATTTTTTCTTAGGGCAGTGACTGGTAAAAGATCTCACACGGTAATACAACTTTTTATCGTATGATCGCGCAAGATCTTATCAGTTCTTATACACTGTTCTTATAAGATCTTATAATAGTATCTTACAAGATTTGCTCGATCTTACATGATCTTATGACAAGATCTTGTAATATCTTACCATATTATCTTTTTACAAGGTTTTATAAAAACATTAGATCTTATACGACGTGTTTCACCTGGATTTTGTTATTTTGGAAAAAAATCTATGGTTGTCAGATTTTCATAAATGAACAAAAATCAGAGAGAGAGAAAACAAATGTCGTGCGTGCACGCAAGCAGTACAAAACTCACTTGCATTAATTAACACATACACGTATGATGAGAATAAGGACGATAAACAAAACATACCGTTATATAGCTCAAAACAAGACGGCACTATCGTACAAAAAAAAAGAGAAATGATGAAGCAAGACACACTTCTGTCTTTTTAGGATAAATAAAAAAAATTAAAAATCAAAGAATACTAAAAACTATGGTGCCCATAACAATGATAATCTATTTTTGCAACTAAAATCTCACAATACGCTCGTTCTCAAACCCACTGTTGATCATTTCTATATTTCTTCCTGGTTTTCTAAAATCGGTTTTATCTATGAATGGTACGTTTTTTGTCTCGGGTAGTAGAAGTGTTAGACCTACTGTAATAAATGCTAGACCAGCATAAATATAGAAAGTAAGATACATATATTTGTCATCGATTAATGTTTCTACAATCGGTGCTGTAATAGCTCCTATACGACCAACAGAAATAAAGAAACCACTGGCAAAAGCACGGATAGTTGTTGCAAACAATTCCGGTATATAAATCCAAGACACTCCAAGCGAACCACTTATAGCAAATTTACCCACTTGTGCAACAATTGCAGTTTCAATTGGGTATTGTTCCATAATAAATGGTATAATTAAAGTGCAAATAATCGTTAACGTCATGTAACAAATAAATGATTTCTTACGCCCAATTTTATTTATTAGAATACTGGCACTGGTATACCCAGCACATTCAACGGCCGCACCAATGATGATATTGATATATGGATTCACTCGATTCATTGCAGCTAGTCCATAGGATATTTTAAAGTACAACAACATGGTGAACAACCCAATTGTACCGGATACGAGTAATCTTGTCATTGTTGGTATATGAGTTAACAATTGTTTGACTTTGGTATGAAACGGTAATGTGACTCCTGTGTCAAAAGAGTCTTTTGACTTTTGTGATCTGACTAGTCGTCGATAAAACGGCAACCATTTTGATTCTGCGTGACCATTGGTCGAAGCCATTTTTTTTAATTGTAACTCTAATTGGTCATAGTGTTGGTTACTGAATAACCAGAACGGAGATTCTGGTACAAAATACAAGTATGGTATGATGAGAGCAACGCACATTGACGTTAACCATTTTAACGATAACCAATCTCTAGTTAGATAAGCAAATAATGTTACTATACATTCACCAACTGTAAATGCTACCAAAGCTAAATTGCCAGCTAAGTTAGTGTGAGATGAACTTGTTAATTCCATCAACAGTAAAAACACTAATGAATAACAATCGACACTTGACACAAATTGATTAATAAGTAATAGAGCAAACCTAAGATTAAACAGCTTTAGTAGAAATTTTAAAACAACTACCCTGTAACGCAATATTTCTGCTCTTTACCTAACCCTTTAATACTAGTAACATAAACTGTTCCAACTTGTACATGATAATAATTTACCGTGAAAATCCTTTGGAATTTTTTTTAACCGGATGACTACTGTTACTTAACCCTTCTATTTTTGGAAAAATTTTCGATTTTGAATTGAAAATAGCCAAATATGAAGGAAAGTCTGAACTAGTTAGACCACTCCCCGCATTCTACGACCTTTTTGAAGGAGGTTATAAGTTTCTGCTTCAGTGGCTAAAAGCTCAATTTTTATAGTAACCTGCATTTTTGTCTCCTTTCCAGTGTCTGCGAAAATTTTTCTTATACAAGGGTAGATACAACAAATAAAGTCTTCTGCTCATTATCAGACTTATTCCAAAAAATTTTCTGATTAGTTTTTGTTTCTGGTTTTTCTTTTCCAAGTTATAGAGTTTTTCAAATTAAAATCACAGGTCTTACCTAGGACTTCTATCATTTTCTTACATTTCGAGAAAGAAAACGAAAAAAAGGATTACTAATCTAAGTACCTGTGATAAAATTTTGGACCCTATTAGAGGACGTATTTGGGGATGGGTGTAAAGCACTCTAAAGGAAATCTAAGTTTTCCAGAGAAACTATAGAATATTATATTAGAAATTTCTAGCAGAAATACATTTTCCTTTTCAATGTTCTATCTCTGGTATAAAGGACAGGAAACAGTTTCCGTAAGGAAATGATTCCGTATGATTTCCAGCGCAAATCATCTAGAAATATCAGAAATGCTTCGAGTTTCACAATCTATTTAAATTTCTAAAATTTCTTCTGGAAAACTTCCAAGAGAGATCACCTACACCTCCTTTTCATTACTTTCCTAAACAACGGCAACCATCATTTATTTCAAGATTTTCTCATACCTTCCAATCTCTTAACAAGAGCTTATATATATGGGAAGATAGAGATTCTTCTACGCTTCAAAATGAGTTAGCTATAAACAAACTTTTAAAATTATGTCAATATAAAGCCATTTCAGAAATGTTGAACTTGAATATCGATTTTCGTATTTGTGAGGGCGTGGTTGTCTGTATCAGAAATCCTTTACAAATGCTCTTTTTCTGCCAGAAACATATCGGGGGCACACTACTATCATTTTCTGAAACTACTTTTCTAAACATTTTTGCGATTTGCGCTAAAAATCATATGAGACCATTTCTTTTCAGAAACCATTTCCTATCCTTTGTGGTCAATCGAACATTTTTCTTCCACATTTGCCAACAAGATTAAAAAAGAGGGGAAGTACTCTTAACTCCTTTTCTAGGTTTCTCGAAAAATTGCTACTAACTTGGTTTCCAGTATCAGCTTTTACTAGCGGTCGATAATTTTATCCAATCAGACTGAAATGTTCAGATGTACAGATACTAAAAATTAACAATCGAACGCAACTATTTTACAATAAAAACACGTGAAATGGTCTATATCGAAATTTTACGTATTTTGATTCTAGTGAAAATAAGTAATAATCATTTACTTTGTATTTATTGACATGGGTATAAATTGCATGAATATTTGGGTTAATGTTGATGTAACAAACATGAAAATTGTAACAATATGAATCGCTTTCCTTCGTCCAATTTTATCACCTAATCTACCAGACAATAAAACGACCATTCCAGCCATTTGATACAGAGTGGATAAGAAACTTTTTTTTACTGTATTATGACAAACAAAGTTTGCTTCTTCAGTGAATGTTTTACCAAATACGGATCGATCATACACCCAATTTATGCATTGATTTGTTTCATTACTACCATTAGTATATATCGAGCATTTTGATAATGATGATTGTGGTATCCATAAGTTAATCAATTCTTGATGAGTAGAATTTATAATTTGATATGAATCATGAGGCCATAGATCTTGAGGTAGTTGACAACGATGTTGAATATCAGCCGCACCATACACATAAAAAAATGTTGTAATACCACTTACTAGTGGAATCAGATTGAGAAAAAAATAATGACAATATTGATAGCGTCCTAAATCACCACAACGTCGAAGAACATCTTCCAGTTTAATCGAAGAATTAACTTGTGAGTTGGTAGATTTGACTGATACATCGTTCTGAAAATAAGCCGTTAAATATTCAAACGCACATTTTATGGAAAATAGGGCGGAGGAAATGAGCAGAGATCGCAATTCTTTCTTTAATTCTAGATTTTTATTTATGAAATTATCAGTTTAATAAAAACATGTTCCATACTCGAAGTCAAATTCACCATCCCAAGTGATGACACTACGCTAACAGCATGGCTTAGTGGTTATATTGTTCATCACGCACTGTGTTCGAATCTCGGTGTCGCCAGGTCGTGAAATTACCTTGGACAAGTTACTTATGTCTTCGTGTCTCGGATCACCCGTCCTACAATATACTCACTACATTGTGACGTACAATACATTTCCTCTGGCGAGGTCGCGTAGCTTTCCGGAAGCTAGGAGGGTGCCGCCACTTCAAAAGCTGAGCAAAAGGTTTTTTTGTGATATTTATACATCGTTGGCTAGAACTCGTCGAATGATCAAGAATAGATGTATTTAATGTTTTTTAAAAACCTTTTTATTGTAAAATATTGAAAAAACTTCAGAGATCCGAAGTTTCAGAAAAACACTTCAGTTTAAAAACCTTCAGAAGTTTTTCTTCTAACTTTTTGAAAATATTTTTTCTGGATTCAGCTTCAAAAACTGAGTGTGAAAATGATATTATATGGGAACTATAAGATGCAAATAAACGAAAAAACATACAAAATTTAAGAAGACATGTTAAAACTCGGTGTTTTGCTAAAAAGTATTTTTGGGATCCTCCAGAAACCTTCTAGAGATCTGCAAGATCATGTCGATTAGCTTTTCAAAGCTGTTTAGCGATATTCGAGTGATGTATCAGGGGCGGCCATACTGGACAGCCATTTGACTTCAGACTCGATCTAATATCATTTTCATACTCAGTTTTTGAAGTTGAGCATCTCGACGAGCTCTATCCAAGCATGTATAAATATCGCGGAAAAATATTTTGTTGACCTCTTGAATTAGCGGCATGTGGTTAGTGAGTGTGTATTTGGCTCAGGTAATAGACGACTTGCAAGACTTTTCAGAGCAACAACTATCCATCGAGTTTCGATATCGTCAGGGTCCTGGGGGTTTTTCGACATGACTCATCCACTGGGATACTTAGTTTTTTTATTGGCCAATGGTTACTCAGATCTGGATATTCACTCCTTTTTTAATACTCTCACTC